ATAGTTGATGAATTATCACCAACACATTTGGCATACAGTTAGCAAGTTATAACCAACTAGATTGTATGGGTGGTGCCTACACTGTTCAGAAGTTAAGTGTTCCAAGCATCTTGTATATTTAATCCACAATAAACCTGTTTCTATCCCTGTTTCATAGACAAGGAGAGGGGCACAGAGAGGTTGAATGACTTACAGAATATCTCATGATGAGTGGCAAAGCTGGGACTCTTAGTTCATACCCATCTTAGGAAAGAAAGCCCTCTATAGGTGACTTTACCTGAATCTTCAAGAATTGTTTCAGTTTAGCTGGGTGTGACAGCTCACTCCTATAATCCCAGCAGCTTGGGAGGCTGAGGCAGGAGGATTGGGAATTCAAGACCAGTTCAGCAACTTAGTGAGACCCTATCTTAAAAAATAAAAAGGGCTGGGGATGTGGCTTAGTGGTCAAGCACTCCTGGGTTCAATCCCTGGTACGAAAAGGGGAAGAAAAAAGAAGTTTCAGGAAAAAATTCTTAAGTCATCCTTAGTGCATTTTACCACTTCACTTGATTTTTCTTTGTTCCCATTTATAATTTAAATACAATGTAAACCTCTTGTTAATCTTTAAATTTTAAGTATTAGATGTGTAAGGATTTGGTTTTGAATGTGATAAATATCACTAAAGATTTTAATAGTTGACTAATGCCTTTTATTTTAGTAGTAGTCATAGAATTGCCAACCACTATAACTTCTGTGCAAATCAATTTGAAGTGCACTTATATATTGTACTATTCAGTTTGTTAATCTACACATCAATGTACATCTGCATTGTAAGGTGTATTCTAAATGGTATCTGTTGTGCTATTTGCATATATAACTTCTGTTAAAAAGGTAAGAACAGTCAGAAAGTAGTAAAAGTAAATTTGTGTGTGGAATAAGAAACTTCTAGAGAACTATTTTAGGTAAATATTTGACAAAATTTCTGCCCAATGTTTTATTGTATTTCAAGGAGCTTTAAAATCAACTGAAATTAAAAACATATTTTTGCAATTGATAGTATTTTCTCTTCCCTTTGATAACATCGCAGGCATTAATCATTGACTTCAAGGAAGCCACACTTTGCAACTCATTGCTTGGCCTTTCTCACTTTTGTGTTTAAGATAAAATGATAGAACAACTAGTCTTGTGGTAATTGTGGGAATAGTAGTTTAAGAGGAATGCCTCTCATACAGACATACCAGATTTTCTTACAGATGGTTCCAAGGATCAGTCTAAAAACATCATAGTTATGTGAATTATTTTTCTCTTTTTGTGATATATTACTTGTAATGAGATGTATGCTCTTATATTTTCTTAGTAAAATTTTCCTATGCATAAAACATGCTTGATGACCTCATTTTTTAAAGACTACTATGTAGAGGAATTTTTAAAAACTTGGCATTATCCCCTTAAAACAAATGCACACTTGACCTGGGAATTTATTATGAGACTTAAATTCAGACATGAAGTATTCCTTGTGCTCCTCATCTTTTCTCTTTATTTCCTTATGTTCAACTTCCTACTCTGTTTGTTTCCTGGCATTTTCCTGTCAGGTGAATCTGAAATCTTTGCTGTCAAATCTCTAACATTTCTTCTGCAACCTCAAGCTCAGCAGATGCCTTGTTTCCAATCTCCAGAAAACAGAATCATCAGAAGAGAACTCAGGCTCTCCCACCCGCACTGGCCCAGCTGCCTTGATAAAGTGAAAGGCTACAACCCTGACAGCACCAGCTGCCCTCACTGGTGATGAAAGCCAGCTTGAAACTTGGCTGGGCCTTGGTGTCCTGTTGAGTGTGAACCATCTCACAGAACACCAACCTCAGGCTATTGTGACCAAATGGGTTCAGATAAAAATGGCCACTCTGGGGTGGGGTTGTGGCTCAGAGGTAGAGCGCTTGCCTAGTACGTGTGAGGCACTGGGTACGATTCTAAGCACTACATAAAAATAAATAAATAAATGTATTTTTTTTTAAATAGCCACTCTGCAATCCACATCTATAGATAAAATATGGATGCTGTCCAAACCACAAAAGTAAACAGCATCCCCAGAATCCTGACTAGTAAATGATTGACTGCTGATTTTTACCAATTATAGTTCTAGCCTCACTCTAGTTAGTACTCTCTGTAGTTTATTGAATGTGATAAATATCACTAAAGATTTACCAGTCATAGAATTGTTCCTACTCACCCACTAGTCCGTTCCAAAATAAATGTCAAATTCCATGGCCCCTCTGCAAAATCACTAAACCAAACAAATCCAAATCCTACAAAAGTATTTTCTAACACCCACTTACAGAGATGCCCCACGTTTCCCCATGGCCTGTATCCTCCTCTGCTGCAATAAGTAATAAATACCCAACTTGGTGATAAACTCAACCTTCAGCTCTCCTATCTCCAGCATTCAGGGGTGGAACTCAATGTCCTAACCCTCTAATCCTGCCTTGGTCTTTCCTGTGATAGCCCCCATCCTTAAGATACCTTGAGGCTATAGGTCACTTTGCAGGGTCACTTTTAGCTCATTATTTAACTCATTATTCTAGCTGAAGTAGGTAGACCAATAAAAACCTTCCATTGCCTGTCAAAGTACTAACACTCAGAAACAGTAAGAATGGTGGCTCAGTTCATGAACACTAAACAGTGTGGATCTTAAGTACCATCTGCTCTGGGTCTCAACTGGAAGGCAACTTTGAACACAAATAATTTTCTTTCTCAAGCTGGTCTAAAAATTATACATAAAGATCAGATGTGGTGGCACATGCCTGTAGTCCCAGTGACTCAGAAAACTGAGGCAGGTGTATCATAAATTCAAGACCTCAGCAACTTAGTGAAACCCTGTCTCAAAACAATAAAAAAAGCTGGAGATGTCACTCAGTAGTACAATGCCCCTGGTTTCAGTCCTCAGCAACACACACACACACACACACACACACACAGTTAAAATTACACTTAAGACACTGCAAAGTAAGCAACCATGAGAATATGCCTCTCTAATCTCTGACTCCTAGGAGTGTAACTTACTACCAGCCTAAAATGCTGTGCTCTGAAACCCATCATCACATTCACATGGCGCCTCCTGTGACAGGAGAAGTGGGGGTCAAGTCTTATTTTGTAGTCTCAAAATGTCTTTCTCACCACGTTCAGGACTCTTTCTCTACATAGGTATAGAAAGCACTGGTTTCACATAATCAGACAGTCAACAAATGTTTTCTGAATATAACTTAAAAAAGGAAAATGTAGTTAAGTTAGCACTTTGTTGACTCTGAACTTGCCCACTACCTTCTACTAATTTATAATCATTGGCACTGTCCTTCCCCCTTAATTCCAAGTCTGTTACTTCTGTGGAAGAGGCAATATGTAGAAGACCACTATATATCATATGTAGAAGACCAGGGTGGGGGGTGGGGGGTATTGAACCTACAGGTACTGAACCACTAAGCCACATCCCTAGCCGTTGTTTCATATTTTTACTTAGAGACAGGGTCTCCTAAATTGCTTAGGGCCTGTCTAAGTTGTTGAAGCTGGCCTTGAACTTGAGATCCACCTGTCAGTCTCCAGAGCCAGTGGGATTTATAGGCATGTGCCAGTGTCCTAGGCTCTTTGTCTTTTCCTACTCTATCCAGCTCAATTCCTTCCTCTTCCTGGATAGTGATCTCCCTTTTCCCTGTCTTTCGTTTTTGCGTGTGTGTTCCCACGTGCTAGTGATGAGGGCTGAATCCAGAACCTCTCACATACTGGGCAAGTATTCTACCACTGAGTTACACCCAAGCCCATTCCCATATTCCCTCCCTCCCTCCCTTCCTTCTTTCTTTATTTCCTATACAGTAATTTAACCTTGGCTACATCCCCAGCCCTTTGTATTTTTTATTTTGAGACAGGGTATCACTAAATTGCTGAAGGTGGTCTCTAACTTACTATCTTCCTGCCTCAGCCTCCCTAGTCTTTGGGTTTCCCATCCACCTGCCACTTTCATATAATCTTAACCACTCCTTTGCTTTTTTATTTGTTCCTCATATTGTTATTGCTTGCCAAGGCATCTTAAAAATTCCCTCAGCACCAAAATTAATACAAACCACAGATTTGGAACTTCATTAATACATGAATAAATAAATCTTCCAAAAGTCCAAAAAGTAGACTGATCAATGTTTTGTGTGTTGGTATGGAAGATAGAATCCAGGGGCACTCAACCACAGAGCCACATCCCAGGTCCCCCTCCCCTCTTTTGTATGTTATTTAGAGACAGGATCTCACTGAGTTGCTTATGGACTCGCTAAGTTGCTGAAATTGGCTTTGAAATCCATCCTCTTGTCTCAGCCTCCCCAGCCACTGAAATTACGGGGGAGCTGGTTTCTGAATGAAGTGGAGATCGGAAAATGGGGGTTCTTGATGTCTCTCTTCTGGTAGTTTCCAAAAGCTCTACAATTTTTAAAAACCCCACTCCTATTACTTTTTTTCTCTGTGGTTTGTAATCACTATGCGACCATTCTATACATTGCGGACTCTGGCTTTTTACTCCCGCATGACGAAGAGAAATGTCTGCAAGGCGTGGGGCAAATACACACAACCAGCTTCAGATTCTAAGCAAATGCTAAGGTTTAACGTTGGAATAAAGGCACATGATCATTCTGATAATGAACTCTGGTTCAAAGGTCCCTGAGTTTTCTTGAGGTATTACAAGCTTAAACTTTCAGGTTTAGTGTTGAAAGATTTGTCCCAACCAAAGACAAAATTACACAAACACATGCTTGGGCAAAACATCAGGAAGCACATTCTTGTCTGAAAAACATGACACGGGAAACAAAAGAAAGCAAAAACCAGAATAAACATTTTCAATTTTGATGCAGTCGTTTTGGCCTTCATGCGTCACGGCCACCATTTTATAGCGACCTTGACAGAAGGCGGGCACCTGCTGGCATTTGCCCGGCGACCCCGCCAGGAGCTAGGAAGCTCTAGGAGCTTGGCCCCGGGTGGGCGCCATCGAGCGCGGACCTCCCGCGCGCCCTAGAGCGGCCGCGTGGGACCCTGTCGGCGGCGCACTTCCGCCCGCACGCGTCGCTGCCCCGCGGACTGCTGGGCCTCGGAACGGGCCTGCACCTCCCTCGGCTCTTGCGCGGGCCTCGGGGAGAGGGTGAGTGTGGTAGGGTGCGATGGAGCAGGGCGGGCGCGCTTCCTCGGGACTCGCGGGCTCGGCTCGGCTCGGCCTGGCCCAGTCTGGTGCAGAGGAGCCGGGCCCCGGTAGCGAGGACGCGCTTCGTCACTATCCCCGCCGGAGCCTCGGCTGCCTGGCGCTGCTACCGCCGCCCGGCCCGCCTTTTGCGAAACTGACGCGGTCTGGTAGGGGAGCCTGGGCTCGCTGGTCGCCGGAGGCCTGGCCTCTGCTTGGCCACTCACTCTCCCTCAGAGCCACAGTTCTCCAGCTTTAAGATGGAGGACGGCAGTATCTGCCCTACCTACACCACTCGGTGATTGCAGGGGTGACAGTGACTGTCTGGAAACTAGGGAGCGCTGGTTCTCCACTGGGCAGCCAGTAGAATCACTTGGGAAGCCTTCCCAGTGTGAGCCCCATCGTCTCCAGGGATTGTGATCTGCAGCCGGGACCGGGAAACGCGGGCCCAGAGTGACAACTGTGGTCACCACCAGAATGTACACTTCGTCGAGGGTGGATCACAGTCTTGACAAGGCCAACATCTGTTTGTTTGGGTTTTTTTTGTTGTGTGTTTTTTTTTTTTTTTTTTTTTTTTTGTCCAAGAAGACGGGGACCTAATCTGGTTTGGCCGCTTTTAATTCCTGGTACCTGGAATGGCGCATGTCGCAGAACATGCATCATTGATTACATGAATTTCTAATTGCTTTCTGACCTAGTGGGAGGGTTTTGATTATTTGGTTTGTTTTTAAACTTTTTGTTATGGAAACTTCCAAACATACATGAAAATAGAATAATATATTCAACTCCTAACTCATGATCAATCTTGTTTCATCTCTTACCTCCACTGTACTATTTAAAGCAAATTTGAAATGTATCATTCCATCGGTTAAATAATGAAACACAGTAACTCTGTTTTTAAACATAAAGCCATTATCAGTCATATTAGCATTTCATATTATCATCTATCCAGTGTTGACATTTCCCCGATTGTCTCTTCCCTGACTCTCCCCTTACCAGTCTGTCCAAATTAGGATCCAGACAAGCTACACACTTTACATTTGATTGATGTCTCTAAGATCTCATTTAATCTTTTTTATTTTTTTCCTTGTTTTTCACTTGTAGAAAAAGACTATGTCATTTGTCCTGTAAAGTTTCTTGCAGCCTGCATGTTGCTTTCCCCATCCCTGTGGTTTCCTTTAATAAACTGGTATTTAGACCTACAGGCTTTTTCAGGTTTTGATTCTATTTTTTTGGCAAGAAAACCTCATGAAGGCTGCTGACTATATTTCATATTGCATCATCAGGGGTTAGATAATATCTCGTCTCTTTGTAGACCTTTTATGTACAAATTACACTGCAGGATAACTAGTTAATTGAACAGGGATTTATAGAAGGATACCAGCTAATAACTGCAGAAGGAATAAGAGAATAATAACACCTTTTGGCAACTCCTAATGAAATGATGGATCTGATGTTGATGTCAGAAAGACAGCCAAATGAAAGTACCTCATACCAATTATCAAGTGTTCTTGGAGCAGTGGGGGTAGGGTGGAGGAATAGATGAATCAAGATTGCCCATAAGTTGATAATCGCTGAGGCTCAGTGATGGAAATGTGGCAGTGCATTCCTTATGCTGATATATTTCCATATGTGTTTGCATTTTTCTTTTCTCATTTTTAGTTCTGGGGATTGAATCCAGGGGCACTTTACCACTGAGCTACATCCATTTTATTTTATTTTTTTATTTTAAGACAGGGTCTTGCTAAGTTGCTGAGGGTATTGCTAAGTTGTTGAGGTTGGCCTTGAGCTTGTGATTCTCCTGCTTCAGCCTTCCAAATTGCTGGGATAATTTTTCTTAATAAAATGTTTTTTTAAATTAAAGATTAACTAATGAGTTTAGGTCAGCATGATCAATTAATTATAGTTCTCCTTTGTCCTTATTTCTAAGTTATTAATAAATCTAACTCTGTTAGAATTACAGGGGAAGAATATCCCTGCCCCTTTTTAAAAATATCAAAACACATGTCTCACAGAATTTACTGTTAAATTGTTCTAAGATGGAGCCTAATCATTAATATGTTTTAAAAGCTCTCCAGGTGATTCTGATATGCTCTCAGTTTTCCATACCACTGATCTAGGTGCATTGTTTGTTAGGGATTGCAAAGTGACTATATTCTGTTATTCCTTCTGCATTTTATTAACTGTAAAAAGTTTTAACTTTGTGTTTATTCTCACCTTTTGCAATCTGCAGTCCAGTAGGGAAGCTGCTTAACTGTTAGATTGAGGCTTAATCTTGGAGGTGAAGACGTGGAACATACAGACGGCCACTAGCACTAACCTCAAGGCTTTGGTCCGAGATAAAATGTGCTGCCTTGTGTGTAAAGGGTAAAGGGAGTAGAGAGCTGACTGTTTCCTGAAATGAAAGGAAAACAAGATGCTGTCTACTTAGAAAAGTATGGCTGTATTAACCATTTTAAAAATAGAATCACAATTAAATACAAAATAAAAATAAAATACTGTCAGTTGTAACTGAAAACAATCCAAAGATTTGAAAATTAATATCTCCTTTCTCTGCCCCAGCATTCTAATCACCCTGGAGATAACCAGTATATGTGTATCCTTCCATACCAGACTTTCTGTCTTACATAAATATAAGGGTTTGGAGAATATATTACAAAAATGAGATTATACCATAACTTTAACTTTTATCATTCTTACCCTTCTAGGATGATAGTTTCAGACCTGAGTTTTTATTAGCTATGGAATAAATAGTTAATCATATATTACTAGGAATATTAATAAAACCATTTCCATAATGGCATATATTTAGATTGCCTTCCTATTTTAGCCACCTAAAAGCACCACAGTAAATAAACATTTTTTTTTTTTGTATGTAGATCCTTTATTTTTGTAGGGTAGAAATGAGATAACTGGTTTGTTATCAACAGCAACATTATTATTGATAATATGTATTCTCCCATCGTTCGCCCAAGTCTTAATTGCAATTTACACCTCCACCGTCAGTAGCTTCTGAGAGCACCCATTTGTCCATCTCACTTCATCCTGGATAATGGATATCAAGGCCAGCATTGCTTCCTTGATATCTGCCAGCTTCTATGTGGAAAATGGTGTCTCTTTATTTCTTTAATTTGAATTCCTACTACCTACCTAGAGACTGAGCATTTTTCATGCTTATTGGCCATTTGAATTTCTTTTGGGATGTGTCCTTTACCGTTTTTTCTTTTGGGTCAGTATTTTTTTTAAAAAATCCATTTGTATAAACTCTTTAAAGGGACATTAATCCCTTGTCATAAGATATGCAAACCAATTTTCTAGCCATTATTTTTCCTTTGACTTTTTGAGTCTTTTCATATATAAAGTTATAAAACGATATAAAATGCAATGAAAGAGCTGGGGTTGTGGCTCAGTGGTAGAGCACTTGCCTAGCACATGTAAGGCCCTGGGTTAGATCCTCAGCACTACATAAAAATAAATAGATAAAATAAAGATATTGTGTCCATCTACATCTAAAAAATATTTTTTAAAATACAGTGAAAATATCTTTCCTTAAATTTTTTGGCTTCTTGTCTTGATAATAAAGGGCTTTCCCATCCCCAAGGTTATATACATATATTCTCTTGTTCTGTTTTTTTTCTCCCCCAAGTGCTGGGGATCAAACCCAGGGTCTTATACACATGCTAGGCAAGTGCTCTACCATTGAGCTATACCCTCAGCCCTTTTCTAATTAAAAAAAAAAAAAAAAATTGGATTTTTAAAGGTTTGAATTGCTAACCCATGTGGAATGGAATTTTACATACAATGTAAAACAGGGACTTTGCTTTTTTCTGCAAGAATAGCCAATTTTGTTGGTGCCATTCAATAAGTAAACCACCCTTTTATGCCTTTGTTACATATTGATTCCTGTACATATTAATTTCTGGACTTCCATTTCCTTTACCTGTGTTTTTATGCCAGTATTATTCTTATTATATCTGTTTAACATAATAAGTGTCATCTGAAAAGGCAAGTCACTCCTCACTACTTTTTGCAATTTTGTTTCCCATTCTCAGACATTTATTCTTTTCCAAGTGATCTTTGGATTGTTTTTGTTCTAAGACAATCTCTTGGAAATCTGATAGAAATTACACTAAAGACATCCACATTAATTTTGAAAAAAATGAACATTTATGTAATATCAGGTCTTCCTATCAAGGCACATAGTGTGTTTCTCCATTTATTTGAATCATTTAGGTCCTGGTCCTGCTAACTATTTCTGGTGATTTATAAGGTTTGGGGGTTTTTTTATGCCCTTATGACTGGGATTTTCCCCCTCCCCTGTTTCTGTTTTTATCTGGTTATTCCTAGGACCAAGAAAAGCTATCAATACTTTTGGTCATATTTTCTTACTGTAGTAGTTTTTCTTAAAATTATTTGTTTTCCTCTCCACCCAACAATGTGGATTAATGTGGATAATCTATATTTGGTTATGTATAAGTGTCAATATTTATTCTATTTGACACACATCTTCCATAATAGAAATATATCAGAGATGGCAGTTATGCCCATAAATAGTGAAAGCGATAGTGCCAGGAGTTGGTAGAAATCTAAATATTCACAGGTTATTGATCACTTAAAAGATCAGAACCCCATAACCAGTCACTTAGGGAAGTGAGACATTTGCTCAGCATTACAATGAAATATCAACATTACTGTAGAGTAATATAGAACATTACTGTTCATAATAGTTCAGAGGAAGGACTGATCACCATGGGCACCAGAAGCACTGCTTGTGAGTATATTAAATACCACCTCTTACCCAGAACCTCAACTAGATTATTATTGTTTAGTGTTTATTAGAACTTTAAAAAAAATGAATAGAAATTACAGAATTCCTATAGGCCCTCTCGCTACTCACCCCTCAGTTTCTCTTGTATTAATATCTTGCATTACTATGACATATTTGTTACCTTTGATAAATCAATATTGTCACACGATGATTAACTAAAGTTGGCTTTATTTTGTGTGGTACATTCTGTGTATAAGTGACCAATGTATAATGACATGTCTATTCTTACTGTAGCATTCAGAATAGCTTTGTTGTCCTAAAAAAATCCCATGTGCTGTATTTATTGATCCTTCCCTCCTTATTCCATTGCATTGGCAAGCACTGATCTTTTTACTGTCCCATAGTTTTTCTTTGGAAATGCTATGTAGTTGAAATTCAGCTGTGGTGTTTGATTGTTTTCAGTGCTAGGGATTGAACCCAGGGCCTCATACATGCTAGGCAAGCACTCTACTAGTAGGCTATACTTCCAGCCTCTTAGTTACAGTTTTGAATTGATTTACTTTAGCTAGGTTTAATTTTGTATATGTAAACAGTCAATATAAGGTTTGTTGACTTGTTTTAGTTCAATTAGGAGTTATAACCAGGGCTTGGGATGTAGCTTAGTGGTAGAGTGCTTACCAAACATGTATGAGGCTCTGAGTTTGATCCGCAGCACCACTCAGGGTAGGGAGGGCTCATAATCAAAAAACAAATAGGATTTGAGCATGTAGCTTAGAGAGCGACTTTACCGAGTGCAAGGCCCTGGGTTCAATCCCCAGCACCCAAAATAAATAAATAATAGTAAATCACACGGAACAGTAATTTGAAATAATCAGGTGAACTTTCTGTTGCAGGGTGGAAGATGTCTATGGATGTGACGTTTCTTGGGACTGGTGCAGCATATCCATCCCCTACTCGGGGTGCCTCTGCTGTGGTCTTTCGGTGTGAAGGCGAATGCTGGCTCTTTGACTGTGGAGAGGGGACACAGACACAGCTTATGAAAAGCCAACTGAAGGCAGGTTAGTGTGCAGTCAGTGTCTCATCAAGATTATTTTTTGTTCTCTGTCATTATCTTAGTTCTCATTGGGCCTGTTGTTCAGAAACAGCCCTACCAGTTGTGATCCTACTTCCTGCTAGAGCTCTGGCCAGACTTGGGAGGCCCCCAGGCACCCTGCCATTACCACTCCATGTACTTGTTTATTTGCTTTTCATTTAGTCTATAAATGTCAAGAGTAAGAATTTTATAGACTTGGGGGGTGCAAGATGGGAGAGCTACCTGAGACATATTAGATGGACACTGCCCTGGCAAGGAACAGTGGACATATTCAGTTCCATGAGGGGATAGTTGTCATGAGGAAATACAAAGGGCAGCAGGTGTTCAGAGGAGGAAGATGCTCTCAGAGGCTTTCTGGACCTTCTGAGTTAAGTATTCCCTTTCTTACCCCATTCTATTATTTCTTCCTCTTTTTATTAACTTCTTAGCATCATCAGTATCTGAAATTAAGTTATTGAAATAGTTTTTTTCTGTGTTCTTTATCTTCCTATATAATAAACTAAGTTCACTGATCACTTATGTACCTAGTAGATGCCCAATAGATATCTGTTCAGTTTGTGAATGGATAAGACATTGAGCAACCTACATCTTATTTTTTAGGTCTTGATAAATAGTTAGTGCAGTAATTCCCACAACTCATCACAGGGTGTGGTAACTTGATGACAAAAGGAAAGATACTTCTAGTGTCCCAGGATCTCTTAATGACAGAAGTGGAGTAGCAGAAATGGAGATGCAGATAGTCATCAACCTTGTAATTATAATAAGTAGAATAATGGAAGTATTTTTCAAGTACTAAATGTGGTAGAGCACATGCTTAGCATGCAGGAAGCCCTTTGTTTAATCCCTAGCACCACCAAAAAAACCCAACAGAATAAAATAAAATGATCATAAAATGATTATTCAAAAGTATTACAACTGGGCACACAGGTACATACCTGTAATTTCAGCAACTCGAGAAGCTGAGGCAAGAGTATCGCAAGTTTGAAGCCAGTCTTAGAAACTTAGCAAGACTGGGTCTCCAAAGAAAAAATAAAAAGGGCTGGGAATGTAGCTAAGCAGTAGAACACTCCTAAGTTCATTCCTCAGTACTGGGGGAAAAAAGGATTACAAAAACATGCTTTTAACATGATTATAAAAATTTAAAAGGAGTTGTGGATATAGCTTAGTGGTGGAATACGTGTTTAGCATGTGTGAGGCCCTGGGTTCAATCCCCAGCACCAAAAAGTAAATAAATAAAATGATAATAATAAAACAATAATAAATGTATAAATATGCTTATTGTAGAAGTTTAAACAAAACAGTGTAAAGAAGAGAAACCCAAGTCCTCTTCCCATAGGTAAATTTTCTATACATACAGATATTGTAACGGTATGGGTATATTTGTATGTATGTATGTGTCGTTTTGCATAAATGGAATCACACTGTACTTTGCATAACCTGTTTTTTTTTTTAGCTGAGCATATATACATACAATCTGTTGCAGAACTTTTCCTGTGAAAATTAATGACTTTAATTGCTGTAAGAATAATTATTTCAGAGGGTGTTTATTATCATTCTTTTCTGGGGATGCTTTGTATTCCACTACTGTTTTTGGCAGTGTTTCTCCATCACTTCCTTGTTCTCAAATGAAAGGGAATGCATGTGTTCTTCATTTGATAGCTTCCTCATACCTCTGATAATTGTGGTTACTGTTACTTCTTCCTCTAAAATCAAGTTTCTTGAAAAATGAAATGTTTATCTTCCCTGAAATTGTGATAACTGTGGGAAGCAATTTTCCACTTACTTAATTTGTCTTGCGTGCTTTGGGTTCACAGGCTGTTTTGGTGTTCTACTCTGGCTTTGTTTTGGAGTAGATAGGAGAGGACCCAGAAAGTCTGATGTTAACAGTTTTGAGGCCAGCGTGTGATCTGGGCTTAGCTGCTGCCATCCTTATGTCTGTGTAGTCTTCAGGTCCCACTTGGAGGTGGCTTGGCAGCCTAGACAGGTAGTTGAAATGAAAGGATTCTCGAAGTCATAAACAGTGACAACAAGGACTAAAAAGAGAAAGGAGCATTTTGAGATTTCTAGTTAGAGAATGCCTCCAGGGGGTTCTCAGGGTCCAAAATCAACTTCTGCCCAATCCATTGTTCTCTGCCACTTGCCACTGCAGCCTGGGTTGGGCGGAGTCGTTCTAGGAAGAGTCTAGAATGGAGAAACTGGAGACCATTTGCTGACGTAGCACAAATCACATTGCAATAAACAGTTCCTGTTCTTTTATGGTATCAATAAAGAGATCCTGTACTTTTATGGTATCAAATATTTAAAATAGGTGGGTCTTGAAGTAGGCCCAAAAGCCTGTTATACTGGAAATGTGCTAGTTGTGATTGTTACTTTCAAAATGCCTGTGGTGCACCTCAGAAAATGGTGATGTGGCATCCTGCCACATACCAGCAGTAAATTCAGTTTACTATTGGCTAAATAAAGTTATAACCTAGCCAATAGTGCACTGAAAAAGCTATTGTATTCGTTCAGACTAAAAGCAAGAGATAGGTCCAAGATATAGGTCCAGAGGACCTGCTCTCCAGTCTACATTGTGGCATCTATAGTTGCCCACCTTCTTCCCCTGTTTCTTACTCGGTTACTCTCTTCCTCCTTTTCTCCCCCTCCTGTACCCCCCACCCCCATCCTTTTTCTCCTTTTCCTACAAGCTCACCCGCATAGGCAGGCCCTGACTTGGTTGGCTAATCCCTGTCCAGAGTAGAGTCCTTAAAAGGCAGTTTTAGGTTCGGGCACTGGTCCAATCATTCAGAGTAGTTGGTGGAACATTTTGTTTTGTTGGAATACACATTCCCTGTTCCCAGAGGGGGCAGTAGGGGGCAATGTGACTGCCAAATGCTTTCGACACTTAGTCCCATCTAGTTAAGTGAATTATTTTGGTACACATATTTCATTTCTTTCTTTCTTTCTTGTTTTTAAATGAGAGAACATATATAGGAAAATACTGTAAAACTTATGTAATTTGAAAATGTTTTGTGGAAAAAAAAGTTCATCTTATTTAAAACCATCCAGTGAAATAAAGACTGTCTTACTTCTGGAATCATGTCGTATAATGTAAAGGAATAAGTTTATGATGGTAAATAGAACTTGTAAATTCAACTTCCTGCTTTTATGTAAGTCGTTTGGTTTGTTTCAAATAGTTTTGTCTGAGGTTTTACTTCTAAAAATTTCCAAATATATTTCTTTGTCTTAATCAAAAGGGAGAATTACCAAGATTTTCATCACACATCTTCATGGAGACCATTTCTTTGGCCTTCCCGGCCTCCTCTGCACAATCAGCCTGCAGAGTGGCTCTGTGGTCACCAAACAGCCAATTGAAATCTATGGCCCTGTAGGACTTCGAGACTTTATCTGGCGAACCATGGAGCTCTCTCACACAGAGTTGGTGTTCCCTTACGTGGTCCATGAGCTGGTGCCCACAGAAGATCAGTGTCCTACAGAAGTACTAAAAGAATCTTCACATGTCGATAAAGCAACAGAGAGCCCCCCCTCTCCCAAAGAGGGACAAGGAAGAACGATCCTATTAGATTCAGAAGAAAACTCATACCTTCTGGTTGATGATGAACAGTTTGTTGTAAAAGCATTTCGCCTCTTTCACAGAATTCCCTCCTTTGGGTTTTCAGTTGTAGAAAAGAAACGCCCAGGTAAACTCAATGCACAGAAGCTGAAAGACCTTGGTAAGTGGTTTGTTTTGCTTTGTTTTTTCTTTCCTTCTTTCTTTAGCTGTAGATGGACACAATCCTTTATTTTGTTTATTTAGTTTTCTTATGTGGTGCTGGGGATCGAACCCAGTGCCTCACTTGTGCTAGGCAAGCATTCTATTACTGAGCCACAACCCCAGCCCGTGTTTTTTCTTTTTTTATCAATTGAACTGTTTTTTACTGAAGCCATTAGAAGTATCATAGTAACTTCCTTTCCTGTGTCTCAGGCCTGAAACTTACATTTTCTGTACTCACTTCCTTTGCCCAAAGTTTGTTTATTAAGGAAAATCCTTGGGGCCATAAGATTTTATTCAGAATAAAAGTCAAATATGTAGTATATTTGAATCCTTCTCTCTTTAACTTCCTGGAGCCATATTCCTTTGTTTTTTGCTTTGTTTTATTTTGGTACTGAAGAATGAACCCAGAGTTGCTTTACCACTGAGCTACATTTCCAGTCCCTTTTATTTTTTATTTTGAGATGGAGTCTTTCTAAGTTGCCAAGGCTGGCCTTTAACTTGCGGTCCCCCTGCCTTAGCCTCCTGAGTTACTGGGATTATAGGGATCTGCTACCATACCTGCCTGGATCCACACTCTTAATCTGCCTTGTACTGTCTTGGTTGGTAAGATGGTTTAGGTGGTGGTAATGGTGATGGTTTTAGGTCTCTTGTCTTCAGTTTTCTTTTTTTCTTTTTTTTTTTTTTTTTTTAAGCACTGAGGGCCTCCCATATGGTAGGTAAATGCTGTACACTGTAACACTAAGCTATTCCCTAACCCTCATGGCTTCCTTTTGAAGTATGTTTTCAGTGACATCTTTGATCTGAGAATTTTTTTCCTTGGTTCTTAACCTTACAACTTAAACTGCAACCAAGTACTTCCATGGTTTCCTGCTCAATCTACTTTGTCTACTCATGCAACCTTGATTAATTTGGTGTTTAGCATATTACACCTCAACCAGTTTTACATACCAGGGTTCATCACAGTGGGGAAGAAGTACACCAAGATGGTCTTAGGGCCATGGAAGGCTTCACACTTCCTCCAACTAGCCATCATGCATGAGGGGATCCTTAATACCTCTTAGGGAGCAGAGGCCCAGTCCATTCTGCCTCCATCTCTACCTTCCTTAACATGGTGTGACTGTGCCTATAAAAAGCATGATGATATTTTTTATGTTTGTCTCTTTACATATGCAGTCTCTTCTCCACTCTAAATAAGATGCTAGATGAGGAAAAGTAACTTAGGTCAAAGTTATTTTCATTATCTAAAAGCCTATGGAAATACTGTTATATTTGGAAATTTTAAACATGATCAGTGTTGGAATTGGTTATCACTATCATTACACTTGTTTGTAAGCAGTTGTCCAGAATGATGATCAGATGTTATTCTAAACTGATGTGAGATTTAATTCCAGGTTGGTAAACATAGGACTTCACCAACTCATGAAGAAGATTGATTGTGTACAGTTGTCCAAATGCTCATTGATCTTGTGATCCAACAGTTCTCTCTAACACATTTTTATTATGTTAGTTTGTAGGTACCTGTCTTGACTAGCATTGATTATGTCATTATTTAGATGACTTTTCTAATTTTACCCAAAGATGACCTTATTATATTTAATATATGATATATTTAATTTATTTAATACCCTTAAAAGCTGTAATTCCTATGCACAGCAGAGAATCAAAACTTTTATCTTGACTATAACAAAATCTTAGAGGGACTTAGGAGTTTAAAAGACATCTGGTACATGTGCATGAGAAATGTTTTAAATATAAAGACATTGTATTAGGAGTCAACACTGAACTTTTAAAATGTATAAATATTCGAGTTTCCACAGTAGTAAAACATTTATAATAATTATGAAAAGAATTTGATGCCTTTTCCATCTTCTATTTGCTATGCTATTAAAATAGACTCTTTTAAACAGTCATAAATTCCATATCCATGATGTAACATTGTCTGCCTTCATCATTAGGTGTTCCGCCAGGTCCTGCCTATGGGAAGCTGAAAAATGGGATCTCTGTTGTTCTGGAAAATGGGATTACAATTTCTCCCCAGGATGTCTTAAAAAAGCCTATTGTTGGAAGAAAAATATGCATATTGGGTGATTGTTCTGGGGTTGTAGGAGATGGAGGAGTGAAACTGTGCTTTGAAGCAGACCTGTTGATCCATGAGGCAACCCTGGATGACACCCAGATGGACAAAGCAAAGGAGCATGGCCATAGCACACCTCAGATGGCAGCAACGTTTGCAAAAATGTGCCAAGCAAAGAGGCTGGTTCTTACTCATTTCAGTCAGAGGTACAAACCAGTTGCCTTGGCCAGAGAAGGAGAAACAGATGGCATTGCGGAACTGAAAAAGCAAGCAGAATCAGTGTTAGATCTCCAAGAAGTGACTCTAGCAGAAGATTTTATGGTGATTGGCATTCCAATCAAGAAATGAAACATATTGACATGTCTGTAAATGTTACTGAACCTACAGTCCAGATTTTTTTTTTCTTTTGTTTTTGTTTTTGGTCTGAAATTATTTTGGCCCTGATAATCCTAAAAAGGATGGAGCTGCATTATTGATCTGACTCATTAGTGAGAGGGAGCAAGCTTTTTGATAATAAATCATTTTTAGAAGAAGAAAAAAAACCACCCAGCATCCTTCTTAAAGTGCATATTTGACAAAAAGATAGATTTTGCAGGTATTCTTCTCATTTTCTGACTACTGCCACAGATGTAAGCCATGCAGTCCTGGGCTTAGCTTCTGCCCAGCTTTATTGTAGTAATTGGCAAAGTACACTGGAATCGGCCTCTTGGCTAGAAATGGTATTTTGTCAGTTTGTGTTGAATCTGCTCATGTTATTAACAGAAGAGAAAGAGCGAGTTACAAGACTTTGTATATGTAATATTACCAATAGCATGCAGTGGTTTTACTGGATTATTGAATTCAGGGCTGGGCTAAGTGATATGTTAGTGTTTTGCTGAAATTTTTGGTTTGCTCTTAGCCCACAATTCTCATCTGAGTACTGTCCTAGGAATTTGGAAATTGTGGGAATGTTTTCTTCTCACAATGACAGAGGGGTGGTAGTGATAATATTACTGGTTTTAATCCGCAGGGGTCAGGAATGCTAGATGCCCTGTAAAGTTTGGGTTAGTCCTGTAGAATAACCTCATCCCCAAATGCATATTGCAGGCCTGTTGAGTTATACAGCAAGTTAAAATTTATACTTCCAATGTGAATATGCTTTACCAAAATTAGTGACATATTGAGTTGAATTACTAGGTAAGTTGATCCAACAACAGATCCTGAAGATTGAATATGTCAGAATTGGAATGCTCTATCAAATATTTTTTGAAAGAAATGAGTCATCAAGTGAAGCTTATGAATCTGGGGGTAAAAAGTGGTATTTATTACTGAGATTTAATTTACATGTCCCCATTAATAATAGAAATATAGGATACCATAAAAATACCATATTTAAGAGTTATCAGGATAGAGGAAGGCATAGAGTTCCAAACCAAAGGAATGAACAATCTATTCAATGAAATAATATCATAAAATTTTCCAAACATGAAGAATGAATTGGAAAATCAAATTTAAGAGGCTTACAAGACACCAAATGTATAAAATCACAAGAGATCCACACCAAGGCACATTATAATGAAAATTCCTAACATACAGAATAAGGAGAGAATAATTCTTTGAGCACAAACTTAATAAATGTTCCTCGTAGAATAGCCTTTCCTTATGATCTTATGTTCTGTGGAAAATTAATATAGAATGCTGATTCATTCAAAAGGGCTCCCTAATTAAATCAGTTTGGGGAATGTTTTATGCTCTGTGTCCCCTCTGGGACTGGGTTCGTGCCCATCAACCTATTAAAAACAGTATTCTTTGGAATGATCACAAACCAGGTTGGGTGCAAGAAAGACCTGATTTTAGAGTCCCATTTTGTACTTTGTGTAGCACCTCTGTGTGGTCTAGAGCAGATTACTTATTCTCTCTTAACTTCTGGAGCTTGTTTATCTCCAAAATGGGGATGGAGAGACTTGCTTGACAGGATTGTTGTGACGATTACATGTGACAGTGCAGATAAGGAGCCCATTGGGTAAAGGCATTGAGGAGGCCTGCAGTAGAGGGCTGTCAACTTTTTATGAACTCCTTTTTCAATGTTGTGTATTAACATCACAAGAACCTAAAGAGCTTTACGCTACACAAATTTAGAAACATTGTCAGAGTGTGTTCTCTCAAAATTCTTTGGGTTCTCGGGTTTCTCTGGTCAAAAATTTTGACTCCTGGATGGTTATGGAGATGGCATAGTAGTGATGATCAAGACAGCTCTGCTTGGGACTGGGGATATAGCTCATTTGGGAGAGTGCTTGCCTCACATGCACAAGGGCCAAGTTCAATCCCAAGTACCAAAAAAAAAAAAAGCTCTGCTTCAGTTTTCAGGCATCTCTAGAATGGTTGGATTCTGACTAGACTTTGCCCCCAAAGTGCCCAAATTTGATCAGCATAGTGTATCTTTGCTTCTAAACAAGCATTAATTAGACATCTACTATGAGCCCAAACCTGTACATAGGGAAAGCCTAGGACTAGTATCTCCACTGCACGAAACCCTTACGGGTAGAGACTATGTCCTGGTCACCTCTATATTTTTAGAAATGCCTACCTACAGTGAGCACTCAGAAATGTTTTCTGAATGAATAAAGCCTTGATGTCATGAGAGTGCACAAATTAGAACATACTTATGTGCCAAGCTCATTTCATTACTGTACTTTTCAGGAACTTAAACCACCTGGTAGGTGCGCCCGCTTCACTGAGTACCAAACAAGTGCTAAGCTTTATTGTGTTGGGTGTACATAAAATGAGTAGACAAAAGGAGACACATTTCTAGCCCTGACCTCATAGTGTAAGGGTGGATAATAAACAAAAGTAAATATCTAGTAGCCTGGTGCTTAGTTTTGCTGCTTCTGGGCTTTATTTGGTAGCTAGCTTGAGCCATGCTCTTAGACTCAGGCTTTATAAATGTATGTGGGCTGAGCCCTCCAACACCAAGGAAAGGAATTGAGATGTTGTTTTCCATGGTGAGAATTCTTTCTAGACCCTCTTTTGGCCTTGAGTTTGTTTTTAATGCTAGGAGAATTCTAAGAATTTTTGGAGCTAGAATTAAGAATGAAGTGTATGTTCAACTTAACCTGTAATCTACTCCTGGTGATACATTAGTAGGAGGGAAGAGGGGTAATAATGTGCCATGTTCCTCCAAGCTTATTTGATCACTGAACCCTCTTTTTGCCAAGGAACATCTTGGGATATTGAGAAATACTATTCCTTATTACTTCTAAAATGATTATAGTTTTATGTTTTACCAGCTCGATTTATGGAGGTAATGATTTCCATATCTACACTTGGTATAGTGCTTTCTTTGTCCTACATTGACTTTCAGTTGCCAGGAATTCATAGATACCTACTTATTTTAGGTTAAAAAAAATGCACTTTCTAGTTCTCAGAAGTTGTTTAGACTTGTTCAAATGGAACCTAAATCAACTGTTGCTAATACTCATGCCTCATTAATGTGCTTTGAATAAACTTTGAATCATAAAAGTGATGTTTGCTCAGTAAAGAATTGTTTATTAAGATTCAAGAAAAGAAGGCAATTATTCATAATTCCACTGCTCAGAGAGAGCTAGTGTTTTGGGTCCAGGGGTCTCAAACTGAGGTGTGAGTTGTGTCTATAGGTAGACAGAGATCCTTAGGTTCTGCTTCCTAAGTCAATAGGGAATTTTCATTTTTAATAAGCCCCCCAGGTGATTCTGAAGTAAAAGGATGGTGGACCAGCCAGGAGAAAAAAGTTGTCTTTTTCCTGTGAACTTAAGTTGGGGTGTGTATAGATATTTTATATATACTTATACATGTATTTGCATATGTGTATATATTATATACACATGCATATTTTTACATGTAGGCTGACCTTCCTTAATTTTTTTTTCATGAGCATTTTCCCATAGCATTAAGTATTCTCTGAAAGCATGAATTTGGTGATTTTATATAATTGGATTCTACAGATCTAGTATCATTTAACAATTTTTCTATTTTGGTACATAAAGATTGTTTTCCATGATTATAAATTATACTACTTGTGAATGTTCTTGTCCACAAACCTTTGTATTTCTGAGTATTTCCTTCCTTGGAATTGATTTCTGTGAGGTTCAAAACATCTGGCTTAGGTTTTTAGGCCCCAAGTAGAAATCACTTGCTTGTTTTTATGTTCATTTGCATTCCTAGAGACGTATAGCTGAGGCCTGTTTTCCTTGCTCCATTGATAGATTACATGGATTATTGTTGACTCATATCCTCTCTGATACTTCCTTCCCAAGACATCAGTCCTACAAAGATTACTTTTGCCCTCAGAGCACAAATAACTTTGTTATGTCTTTTAACTAGGCACATATAATTCAATTGTGATTTCCTTAAATATTTTTAAGCCAACTTAAGATTTTGCTAGTTTTTACTATACTGAAAGGATAAAAATCCTTTTATTGCTTCAGGTATATTGATGAAAAATGTACAGTGATGGTACTTTTGTCCTCACAAAGATATGAATTTTTAGTGAAATATACTAGGTCTATCTTTACTGATTGATGGATTTTTCAGGTAATGAACGAGTGAATGTTTTTATTAACGTGGACATACTAAAAAGCAAGAGCTGATCATGGCTTTATTGATAAGGTAAGAATAGATTTGGGGGGCTGGGGTAGTGGCTCAACAGTAGAGCGCTTGCCTCACATGTGTGAGGCACTAGGTTCGATTCTCACCACTGCATATAAAAATGAACAAAATAAAGAACCATCAACAACTAACTAACTAAATAAATAAATAACCAAGAGTAGATTTGGGGATGGGAGTTGGATAATAGAGTGAAACTCTTTTCTAATAGGAAGTAAATAGTGTCTGAAAAACAAATAGCACTTTAAGCGTATTATGTTCTAAAAATCAAGGGGAGGGCTGGGAATGTAGCTTAGGATGCATAAGACCCTGGGTTTTGATTCCCAGCACTACCCCCTCCCCCCTCAAAAAATAAAAAATTTTTAAAAAGCAAGAGGAAGGGAAGAAAATACCAGTTTATCAGATGAATGGTTAAGAGTGGAGGGGGGCTTTTTTCCCCCCCTGGACTAAACTTAGGGGCTTGCATGGCAAAAATCCCCAACCCCTAAGAAAAAGGGATTTTTAAAGGAGAGGCCATGCACAGTGACACATGCCTATATTCTTTGCAACTAAGGAGACTGAGGCAAGAGGATTGCCAAGTTCAAGGTCAGCCTCAGCAACTTAGGCTCTAAGCAACTTAGCAAGACTTTGTCTCAAAAAATAAAAAGTGCTGGGGATGTGATTCATTGGTTAAGCACCCCTGGGTTCCATCCCTGGTACCAAAATAATAAATTAAAATGAGGGAGAAAGGGGCTTGAGGAGGGCTGGACTGCTGTTTGGGACGAGGGGAGGGGGGCGGGGGAGGATACTGGGGATTGAACTCAGAGGTACTTGACCACTGAACTATATCCCCAGCCCTATTTTGTATTTTATTTAGAGACAGGGTCTCACTGAGTTGCTTAGGGCCTTGCTGTTGCTGAGGCTGGCATCAAACTCACAATTCTCCTATCAGTCTCCCGAGCCACTGGGATTACAGGCATGCGCCACCATGCCCTCCTTGGACTGCTGTCTTTTATAAGGCTTACAGTACTAGTACTATTGGATAGTTTGAATTATTTGTATATATTAATTTACTGTAAAAATCACATTAAAACACATGTAAGACGCTGCTCTCAGTCATCAATAATCATTCTTTTCTCCGTATGGGCGCTCTAGGCAGTTGACAGTTCCTCTCAAGTGTTTGTAACATTCCAATCCATTCATCCTGTAGCCAGAGGGATTTTTTTTTTTTTTCCAAAATGCAGATTTGAGCCACCTCACTTTCCCTGCTTGAAACTTGTTAATGGTCTTGCCTTACCCACCTTTCCAACTTACTCCACAGTGCTGCCCATGTTTGCAGCCCCAGCCACATGGGCCTTCTGTCAGTCTTTTGACAGGGCTTGCTGTTGTCACAAAGCTTTGCATGGCCTGCTTCCTCAGCCTGGAATGCTCTTTCCCTTCTTCCTATGGTGACTTTCACTGGGTCTTAGATCACCACTCTGCTGTTACAGTCTCACAGAAAGCTTGTCAGGTCCTTTACCAGGTAGCATATTACTCCCACAGCACCTGCACTTGACCTTCCTGGTGCTCATTGCACATAGCTTCATTTTGCTTCTGTGAGTATTTGACTGATGTTTCTCTTTCCCACCAGCTCTGTAATTCTCACAAGAGCAGAACTATGTCTGTTTGTGTTTCCCTTGGTGCCTGGAACAAATTAGGCGCTCAATAAATAGTGTTGACTGGCTCAAATTTCCTTGTCATTCTGTTATTCTATCAATATGCAAAACTTAGGGATTTTTTTCCTAATTAATATTAAAAACAAACAAAATCCACTTCCCTAATCTCTGAACTAAAACTGAGGAGAAGGAAAATGGTTGCCTGTGACTTTATGGGGCAGATCCTTATAGTTTTAAAACTCTAATTTAATGTCCTAAGATAAACAAGACAGAACTAGAGCTGGGGAGAGATTGGGAAAATGTTTTCCTGCCTAAAAAGTTGGATGTTGACTTTTGCTATGTATGGGAATATCAAAGCAAATGTAAGAAAGGAGTGGAAAGATTTGGGGCCTCAGTAGGAATTCGGAGCCCTAGGTGGGTAGGAGAATTGTGGGAGAATCTTTATACAAATTAGATTTTATGCTGGTCCTATTGCCTGGAAGTAAGTCCCCATTCCTCATACTTTCTCCAAAGTCTGCTAGGCACATGATTTGGGGTGGGGGGGATACAACCCTGAACATCACCAAATGAGAATAACTTCTGAATTCCATGGCTGGGTTGATCTGAGGGCATGGACAGCAGGAGGGAAGAGTGGATAATTCCTAAAGGAATACAGTTCACAGAAGCTGAAGCCAGCGGTGACCAAGGAACTCAAGACATTTTCAGGAAATTGATAGGAGGGCACTGAAATTTATATAGCCCATGGAATGAAGGGGAGTCGAGTTGAGCCAATTTTATGTACATCTTTTTTTTTTTTTTTGGTAATAGGGATTGACCCCAGGGGTGCTTTATTCTTTATCACTGAGCTACAACCCCAACCTTTTTTTTTTTTAATTTTTGAGAGAGGTTCTCACTAAGTTGCTTAGGGCCTTGCTAAATTGCTAAAGCTGATCTTGAACTTGCGATCCTCCTGTCCCTCCAAAGTGGCTGGGATTACAGGCATGAGCCACCTCGCCCAGCTCATATTCATCCTAAAGGACAAAATAACTCCAATCAACACAGATCACAGATCTTCTGTTTCCTTGGCATATTCCAAGGGTTAAAATTCTGTCATATTCAGGACAATAAGGAAGTTGCAGGAGGGGTAACTAAGTTTATGCAAAGTAAAAAATATTTCCACCCCTAAATAAAGCTTACTGAGAAACACGCTGCTCAGATGTCAGCATGCTAATTATACACTCAGCAGACATGGCAGGTACAAAGATTAAATTCACCCATGAAAAAAGTAAAAGCAGAAAGGTGAGCGATTGAGTTTTTCAGCTATATAAATCCCCCTTTAATTGCCAGAAGCTTCAGGCAACCTCAGGCAGAGCTAAGCAACATTTAGTTCAGTGTCACCAAATGAAAACAAGGTTATCTTGTCTAGGTTGTTTTCTATATTGTTGTGGCTTCCAGAGATGATAGGCTTGTCTGACCATATCTCTGTCACATGTTTTGAACTGGAGCTGACCTTGTAGAAATACCCAGGTCTGGGGATGCAACCTGAGTGCTGACGCTAAATGACTTGCCAAGCGGCAAACAGACTAGAACATGATCTGTTTCCTCCCCATACGCCATCCTGATGGGCAGTGCAGCCTAATGCAGTGGGCTTCAAAGTTGCGTATGTGCTTCTAGCAATGTGCAAAGACTTTTTTCTAAGGATACACAGGCATACTGTCATATGGAAGATTTCCTAAAATTGATCTTCCTGAGAACTTGTGTAGTCAGTATCTTGCTGATACTATTGTGCAGCATTCCAGAATGAAACACCTCCAGGATGTCAAAGAAAGGGATAATTGAAATACTGGTAATGAAGTTGAAAAAAACCGGAATGATTAGGTAACAAATTCTCATGCAAGTTAGACAGTTTTCAATTTGTTGTTGTTGTTTTTTTAATAACTTTATTTGTTTATTCTTTCTTTTTTGTGTGGTGCTGAGGATAGATCCCAGGTCCTCACACATGCTAGGCAAGTGCTCCACCACTGAGTCATAATGCCAGCACCAATTTGTTGTTTTGAACAAAACTGAGAGAGGAATTTATCCAACAATAGATGTTTTATTTTTTATTTATTTATTTATTTATTTATTTTGCGGGGGAGAGGGTATTGGGAATTGAACCCATAATGATAGATTTTTAAAATAACTTTATTCAGCTACAATTCACATACCACAAAATTCACTTTTTTTTCAAATATTCACAGAGTTGTACAGCTATCACCACTACTAATTT